GAAATAAGTTCTTAAAGTTAATTTTCCTAAAACCTAGAACAGTAAGTAAAGAAGTAAAGCAAACAATTATCTCTTCTAGTTACGACCTTCGTATTCAGTTGTTGCTTGACGTAGGTTGCTAAGCCTTTAAAAATTTTCCAAGTGGAGGACATGAAACAAAATATTTGTTTAGGTTTTTTTATATATATTTTTGAATAACTAAAAAATCATAAATAACTACATCAATACCATAGAATTCTACTATAATTTATCAAACTTAGTAACTAAGCTGTATTTGGATCTAAAAAAAAATATGAAATTTTGAGCAGACTAAAGGTACAACCTACCTCATTGAAATCTTGGTTTAAAAGAAAGAAATGGTGCTAGGTATGTTAGAAAGGCTGAAAAAACCACTAGGGGGACAATCTGAGCTTCAGATTGGTTATTCATGTCATATAGAGAAGTAAGTGTATATAAGGGAGCATTTCCAAAAATGGAAAGAGGTGGGCGGGGTGCCACTGTGTTTGATTTATTATGTGAGCAATATCTTAGCATATAGAAAAGACAAAGACTTTCTTATTTTATATTCTAGCTTGTCAATATCTGTAATTTGAGCTTCTACTTCATATGAAACTATAGACTTAGTATTTTGACTTCCCAAACATCTAATTTGAACCAGTGGTGCATTCAACATACCACGTGACATATAAAAATTGATGTTTATCTGTCTTTTTTTAATATTTAATTTTAAATTAACAAATTGAGTAATGTATAGTTCTAAAAGTTGAATTATAATCTACAGTTTGATACCAAACTTATTGGCATAAATTCATGAAATAGTAGTTCAATAAAATTTTGAATGTGAGTCAACAAACGAGATGACATGGCCTTTCACCTGTGACCCGTATCTTAAGGGTTAAGGTAAAAAAAGAGACCTAGTCAAAATACTAAATCATAAACATAAAATAAATGGTTGGGAAATTCATTACACAATAAACCAATAAACAATAATACTGGATTGTAATACCCTATAATTTATTTCACTGCCATTTTTTCCATTATTGAAATAAAAAGTCTTCATGAAAATACATGTTCACATTTTCTTAGTCTGTTAATCACACAATAACAGGACTTTTATAACTCACTTGTTTTTCCACAGGGACATGATCTAGGTCCTGCACGAGGGCAACGTCCACACACTCCTCCATGACAAACTTTTTCACAAAAGTGGTTACCACAGGAAAGCTTTTGGCCACAAACCTTTCCAAAAAATAAACTAAATTCAGCAAGGCTAAAAATAAAATTAATTCTTACATCATTGTTTTTGTCAATTCTATCAGGAAACCAAAGGAAATGTGTAGTATCACTTTAAAGATATAAGACAGAATAACACCCATACGGATACTGCTCAAGATATAGACATTAATAGTGTCTATATAGAAAAAATATTAAATTATTTCTGTTGGCTGTATGTGTTACTAGCATACTTTTTTTAAATTAATTCAAAAGCAAGAAGTTTTACAAATTAGTTTGATGGCTGCTGATACTAGCAAGTTACTTGATGAAATTGTTGTGTGTGCTCAGTATATTACACCATGTAACTGAATTTCATAGTTCTTCAAGACTGCACATTGTATCAGCTATTGAACATCCATACAATAAAAATAGTTCATTATTACATATAGTTTACAAAACACTCACAACTTTGTTGTAAGATTAAGCCTAAAATTTTGCATTTCATATTACTAAACTACAAGTGATCTAAACCTCGTTGCATAAAAATGTAAATAAGTTTTAAAGTGTCATCAGCCAAGTATTATTCTGAACAAAATGTACTTTTGAATTGTATAAACTATTTGCTTATCATAACTTACAGCATCACACTGCCACTTGGGACTAGCACAAGGTCGGTTAGTCTTCTTCTGACCACACATACAGCTCTGGAAACTTTGACGAGGACATGGAGGACAGGGTCCTGCATAGTATGAGAAGTGATATCAGTGATCTTAAAGTAAAACTTTTCTTACAGCTCTACTGAGAGATATATATGGGAATGCCAAGTACAATATACATGAAAAACATTATTAGATCTTTTGTAAATAATTTTCAAAACCAAGGTTTAGAAATTAGACTTAGCATCATAAGATTATGATTTATTTGTTTCAACAATTTGCTCATTCAAAATCCTGAAATTTTCAGACAAGTATCATTCTACTTAAAACTGAAGAACTAGCATCTAAAGAATAGCAAGAATGAGAAATATAAATAAAAAGATGGAATTTAAGGTTTGTCAGGTGTCAAAAATGGACTGCAAGATGTTTTTGTTTATACTGAGAATTTCTATATCTGTATCATTACTTATAATCTTTATTAAGCACTCACTCTTCAAATTTTTATATAGATTATTGTTTTATCAGCTTTTAAGAAATAAAAATTTACAATTATTTAGCCATGATCAACCACATTATCACAGGTTAAATTATAAAAAAATGCATTAGCATAAACATGAATTTGTTTTTATATTTATAACTATCCTATATTAAGTTGGTGGAAAAAAATTACAGTTAACATGATTTCTTTGTTTTTGTTTTCATCTGCTTCTTCTCTGATGACTGTCAGAAGCAATCTTATAAAGCTATGTAGAAGTTTTTCATACGAACACATTCAAAACTTAAGTGCAAGTTCCTCAAAATACTGACATTGATACTCTAACAACAGTTGGAAAAAATCATTATAAGTACAATAATGTATATGAGTACACTCTAAATGTAATATAAATTATATTTCTAAACTTTTTTTGCATCAATCTTTCTCAAAAAAAAGAGAAAAAAAAATATAATATTATTTCTGATAATTTCAGTTTTCTCTTTCCAGAAGTACAAGTTAAAAATATTTCACCAATAAAACAAAATCAATACAACTGATTCTAACTGGTTCAAAATTTGGAGAAACTAGTAAATGAATCAGACTTCTAATGAAGTATTTTCTTATATAAACTGCTATTGCTTCATAAAAAAATTACTTAAGTATCAGTGATACCTCCATGGCAAGGTTCATCACAGTTATGTTGACCACATGACAAAAGATGACCACATCGTTTCCCACAAGACCATTCTCTGGCACTGCACCTTCTTATCTCTGGACTCTGACGCCCACAGTAACAATTTGTCTTCACAGTTTTTGGACATGGTGGACAAGGACCTTAATACAAAAGGAACTGAATCTATTAGAATTAAGTACAGTATTCCCTTTATTAAATTATCATGAAAGTTGAAAAAGATAGAGCAAATTACATTTATTCTTTTATAATATTTATAGTTGAAAACAATTAGGAAGTACAGATATCATTGTTTTGTTTTTATTTTTTATCTATGTAATAAGATTCTGAAAATTAAAACTATTTATCAAAAACCACAAAAACAATAATACAAAATACATCAAATGACTTAGTTACCAGAATGACAGAGTAAGAGACACACATGGCCACAAAGAGGCTGAAGTTTGTGTTCACAGGTTCGTCCACATGAATGGGGTATCAGCCATGGATCAAATGGTGGATTGACAGTCTTCCCACAGAAACATAAGTATTTCTGTGGTGTTTCCATCTGAGTGTATTCTTTTCGACATTTTGGGCTAACAAATGAAACTATTACGTTAGTAATAATGTACAGCTCAATCTAATTAAAATGTGGTTACATCAAGTCTTGAACAACTGAATTAATCTACAATATTCAAATGCATTAAAATTACATCAGTAAAATGCATGATTATTAACAACACAGATTCAGTATCGTTTTTATCATCACAAATATTGAGTTGTCCACAAAACAAATACAAAAGATTTAACTCTACATTTGCCAGTTGTAAATTTTATCAAAGTGATTCTCAAAGTTGAGTTATTTATTTGCTTTAAGTTACAAGTTTGTGTTAATATTTCTTTGCTTTATGTTACAAGTTTGTGTTAATATTCTTTGCTTTAAGTTACAAGTTTGTATTAATATTTCTTTGCTTTAAGTTACAAGTTTGTGTTAATATTTCTTTGCTTTACGTTATAAGTTTGTGTTAATATTTATTTGCTTTAAGTTACAAGTTTGTGTTAATATTTATTTGCTTTAAAATGATAATTTACCAAATATCTTCAACTTCACTCAGTCTATCACCTTCTGCAAAATCTGAATCATTCCTTGGAAGAAGCTTTTTCAAATGAGGAATGTAAATTACAAGTGACAATGAATTTTAAAAGCGAGTTTCAAGAATTAAGTAACTCCATAAATCTGCTTTTTCTGAACACTATGCTAAATAACTATACTCTTAATCTTTTCCAAGTTAATTACAGTAAAAGTTTTGAATACTTAATGGTAACTTGCCATATCAGCTTTATCATGATAACCAAAGTGACATGTTAAAGGTGATGTTATCTTATTAAGTATTTTAAACCACTACGAATGTGCCTTTGGAAAATAATTTTAAAAACTGTGTTCTCTGTGAAACAACAATAAAATACATATTAAGGCTTATTAAAATAAAATATCAAAAAGCGTACATATATAATAAGATAACTTTCAAATTTTACATCCTTTTAAGAATTGGTTATTACAAAAACATGAACATACTATCTGGATATTCAAATCCCTATAAAAACAAGAAACACTTGAAATTCTTTTAGGCAGGATTAAAGTAAATTGAACTATGAGACCTTTTTTTCCCCTTTTATAAGCTATATTTTTGTGCACCAGCAATACTAAGTATGGGGCAAACATATACTCAATTCGATTTTATTACTCATCAGAATCTCTACCCACAAGTTGAAATTCTTTAAGGCAGAATTAGAGTAAATTAATCTATGTGACTTTGGGTGTGGTCAAATACATCAACTGAAAGTGTTTGACCTCCTGAGTCCCAAACCTAATTAGATCTAAAATTGGTCAATAGATGACAGAGATATGAGCTAAAAGCTTGTACTTGAAAAAAACTCCCAGCCATTCTATGAGCTGCTATGCCATGGCTAAAAAGTATATTCAAAAGCTCACACAACTTTCTATAGCTGTGACAAGAAATACATTAACTATTAGTTCAGCTTAACAAGGCAACAGCTCTCATGGAACAAAAACATCATTAATTAAGATGCAGGATGTATTAATCTAATTTTCTTACCAACACCATTTTACTGCTGTGTTATCTATCTCACTACTTTCATCTAACGAGTGAGTTTGATGATAGAGACTATCCTTCGACCACTTCTGAATACATGTTAAATGAAGAATGCAGTAACATCCTTTGCATGACCATACCTGTAATAAGAAAACCAAATATCAAAATATAACTCCGTATGTATGTGTGCCAATGCATAATACATACATATATACACGCACTTAATTTTAAAACTATTTTTGTTCCTACAACCACAAATTTTGGATACTGTAAAATGAGTGCGAGTATGACACGTATGCCTTTGTTAGATGTTTATAAAAAAAAACACTACCAAACAATGTTTTTCAATAAATTCTGCGATAAATAGCTATTTCGCTTATAACCTTCCCAAAGCAAACAACTAGTGAGGACAAAGAATGGAAAATGCATAAAATAAGTCATTTATCAACTTAATTTTTAGAGTTTTTGCTAGGTACGACGAGCCAAGACTACTACTAAAGATATATCATTTAAAAACAATTAATATATAGAGCATTAATAAAGCTTTTTAATGATGAAAATAACATTTAGATCAACAATTTCCTAAATAAATAAAAAAATATCGTAATACAAACATCAGAACTACTAAAATCTTGACAAGAATAAATTTCCTGCAATTTAATAATTTTTTTAGACTTGTTATATTCTATGACTTTGCCAATGCCATGTTTCTTGAAGCTCATTATTTGATTTTGAATAACCTACAAATACTTGTATTTTCCTGCTTGTAGTTGATATTCAAATATATTTGTAACAGGTTTCTTTCCCTTTAGCTAGTTTGTATTTTCCTGTTTCTAGCTGATCTCCAACTATATTTATAATTGGTTTGTATTTTCCTGTTGTAGCTGATATTCATCTACATTTATAACAGGTTTCTTTCCCTTTAGTTGGTTTGTATTTTCCTGTTTGTTGCTGATATTGGTCTATGTTTATAATACATTTCTTCCTCTTTCTTTAGCTGTAATTCCAACTCTTATAAAAAAAACAACAGAAATAATAAAATAGTCTTATCTTTAGTTGTTTGTCCAAGAAAATTGTGTACCAAAATCCTATAACTTGAGAAGCATTTTCTTTACATTTTTCATTTTGTTGAGAGAAGATTTTATATTCTTGATGAGAATAACTTAACTTTATTCTTAGATACTACATCCTACAATTGGAACATGAAACTGGACTGCTACAAAATGTACACGTATGGATGTATTTGCTGGATTTGTGGAAATTAAAATTTTGACAACATTCACCGAAGCATCATTGTAACTGACATTTTGTACTACTGGTGTATCAAAGCATGCTTGACAAGAATGACACTTATGTATAACTACAAATGCAGTTTTTTATTCTATCTTTAACATAAACATAGTTTTTAATCTGAAGTTACTGTGAAAAAAAAACAACACAAAAACATGACGTTAAACAATAGAGGGGTGTGTGCACAAAGTTGGTTTGAATGTTCAACAAAGTAAAGAAAAGAGATAGTTGTGAGTTTATGTTCCACGGTACTGAGTTGCTCCGATGTTCATACTCAGTTTTACAGAGTCTAAAACTCAACTGCCAGGAACCGACATCCTTGCGGGGGTAGGAAAGAGGATCATACCATCTTCACCTCAAGTACAGCCAACCAGAGAGAGACATCCCACTAACAATCTGTGAACAGAACACACGTGAGCAGAGTGAAATAACATACATATATATCCCACTCAAATCAAACAGACTAGAACCACCTCAAATGCAGTAACATCCTTGGCATAAAGACATTGACTGATAATTTTCCAGTCAAGGACCACCACCTGAAACCAGTGTAAATGTGCTGACAGAAAATATAACCTCTGAAGTGGTAACTGAGAATTCGAAATTCATAACTTAAAATGAATAACCAAACACAACCATGTTGGCAGAAAGAAATCCGCACACCTAAGTGACTCCCTCTATGCTATTCAAGCTAACAATCACTTCTCATTTGGCAGTACTTGTGTTCTGATGTTTAGTTTGTGCTCTCTTCAAGTTTTTTTTGGTATCTTTGTATCAATTTATCTTAGCAACTTTACTATTTATTATACAATAGTGATATTTGTAAGTTATTCCGAAGTGGAATTATTTTATATTTCTACCCAGTTGTAGAACTTAATATTTAATTGGAAATGTTTTTTCTAATTTTTCACTACTATTGATGGATGTTTGTCACATGATAATTTGCATGCGAGAATCAATTAAACCATGCAAAGTGAGGGATGTGGGAGAGTGAAAGGTTTGTGGCATGCAAAAAAATTTTTGCAAATAGAGGGCAGCATTGAAGAAGAATAGTTATGTATGAGAGCAGAAGTAAGGTACCTTGTTGGAATTTATTTTTGATTAAATATCATTACAAAATATATTTTTTATATATAAAATGTAGGCATATTACTTAAAAAACAGCAATTTAAAAGTGAAAAATTTAAGTAATGCAGAAGGTTGACTATGTTATATTAAAATGATTTAAAACAAGCAAATCAGGAAGTCATATGACAACCACAGACATGATACATTTGTAGTGGAAAAGAGTTTATCAGAATTACATTTCATGGGTAGTGTGATGTCACCAATAATTTGTTGCTTTTGGGAATACTATGTACCAGTCTTTTCTGATGCAAAAACTTCTTTGAGATCATAAAAAATGTGTTCAGATCAGGAATTTAGAATTTCCAAGGTGGATATACTCCTTATATTTAATGGCATTCAAAAACAAAGGAGTATGGAGCAACTTGGGGAAGTAGGACCATTCAGAAAAAGACCTGAAACAAGGTAGGCAAAGTGTGGCATCTTGTAATAAGTGAGAACCTATGAACATAAAAAATCATTGAAAAAAGCTATCCTCATATACCAGACAACAGTACACAACAACCAAGAAGAATCTTTGTCAGGAAAAGTGAAACAAGTTGATTCCATGACATATCCAGTCAACTTTGCTGGAGAATAAAACAGGCATTTGTGTTATTCCATACAAAGATATACTGCTCAAGTCACCAGAAGCAGCACCTATGGATTTCTATGTGACTGAACTGTTGAAATGGCTACAAGGTCACTGTTATCTTTGTACGCTATATCAATTATGGACATGTCAGCCTTATGACAACTATGCTGTAGGGCTATTGTCAAGAAATATGGTTGTCAGACAGAGTGAGACTGGACATGGTGACATAGACTGTAACAACACTCTGCGGCTCCAAAATTGTTTTAATACTCAACCTCTGTATTCCCATAAAGCTTTAATAAATACTCTGTTTTATCACACACAAAATAAATTGTTAACCTAAATGTGAAAAATTAATCACAATATTAGGTGCATATTTGTAAAACACCATTTGTTTTATGTTTTTTTAATACAAGAGACATTTTTCCACAATGTTGCATCTTTTCTTCATATATACAGCATACAGGCTAAGAATAAAACATCAAGTTGAGTAATCTAGCCTCTCCAAATTACCAGATAATGTCATTAACTATACTTAAAAAGCATACAAAGGTAACACAATTATATTACAAAACAAAAAATAAGAAATACACTTACAATAATAAAATTGGAAATATAAGAAAGATTAATACTAGTGTAATAAGGAAAAAATTAATATTTTGCAAAACAATTTTTGTGGTCCTTTTTTAAGTGTTTTTCTTACTGTTCTTTAACCATGCTCATATTTTCAGGTTTAATACTAATAACACATTTTTGTTCACATCTCTTGATATTTCAAGATGTGGTATCCTCAGGGTGCAATGATTTCCTACTGATAGAAGATTAACTGCTCTAAAAAAGAGAATCAGTAGAAAACAAATTATAGCATTAAACTGAATTCTGACCTAACTCAATTTGGAAAAGAGACTGAACACAAGTTTTACACTAAAAAAATGTTACTTATTGTAAGACACAAAACAAAAACTTTAATCCAATCATAATTGTGTGCAAATTTTATGACATTTGCTACTTATCTCTTAATTTCAAAGTGATCTTCTATACTAGGCAAAACTCTGCTCAAAACTGAAAAATCCACTAAATACTAATTTGATTAGAATCAAATCTTTCAAAGTGCATCTATCAACCATGTCATCTGTGTGGTTGTGTGTGTTTTTCTTATACCAAAGGCACATCAGGCTATCTGCTGTGTCCAATGAAGGAAATCGAACCCCTGATTTTAAGCATTGTAAATCCAAAGATTTACTGCTGTCCCAGCGGGGGACAAAATTCAAAGTACCAAAGAAATGACACTTGCACACAAACAAAAGTGTGAAAAGCAAATAATACTAATGTCAGCCAAACCTGCTGTCTTCACTCTCTAGAGTAACATATGCACCATTGCATGCAAGTTTGAAAATATCTGAGAACATGAGATGTTCATCTTTCTAAACTAAAAGTAAAAGAAGCATCTGGCACGTATGACATAAACAAATAAAGATTGAGGTCCTTCATGGTATTTATATTATTTTTCTTTGAATTCTAATATTAAAAAGAAATACAGCAAACAACAAAAATAATTTTTTTATAATGTTCAGCAATGATATAAATTTCTTCTTTTTTTTACCCTTTCATTGCACAATTAATTTTCAGGCTGATTCCCAAAAAGTGTCTTGCAATATGTGGGAATATCTCTCTATACTTGAAACCATCACCAAACATGCGTGCATGCTGCCATCTGTGTTCTACGCCATGAAACCTGGATGTTTATATGCCTCATTACAAAATTGCCAACACATACAGATTCTATATGGGTTCCTGTAAAGTTTTCTTTTTTTCCTCAATTTTTTGTTTAAATCATTATTTTTCACTATCCAATACAGTTTTCAAGGAATATTACTGTCAGATATAGAAAATAAAGTTTCTTTCAATATTGAAAAGTAATACAAAGAGTCAAATTCATACTTTTATTTTTTGGTGGATAACTTTAGAGGGAAACTTTTTTGGTAGCTGTGGGGTTAATCTGAATTTTGCAGTCAGTGGATATAAATGTTTATTTGGACATATCTGAAAGAAGGCAGCAAAAAGGTTATCACACTTTTTTAAATTTTTGTTCATTTGCAGTTAAGCACAAAGCTACACAATGGGCTATCTGTGCTGTGTCCACCATGGGTATCGAAATCTGGGTTTTAGCATTATAAGCCTTCAGACTTACCACTGTGCCACTTCACTTGCAGTCAACATATAACACTTATAATAAAGAGAGCCAAC